TTGTTACAGAAAACGCTGCAAATATGGTTTGTGCAGAGAAGATAATGCAGCTCATGCATGCCTGCTGTGTCTACTCGCTCGAGTGACGCTTCACTTTTTCACTTTTCACAAACAAGTTTGCACTTTTGAGACAGTTTTGTTCACATCACATAAATATTTTGTAATATGACAGGAAAAAATAAAATACAAGAGTATTTTGAAACACAGTTGAACTACTTTTATTGTTGTAAAAACAGATCAAATCGCAATTAATCGATTTAGAGCTGTATGAATCAAAATCGAATCGATTCAGGACTTTGGCGAAAATACCCAGCCCTAATCCTTGACCTCTGGGCTAGATCTATTAATTACCTCCCCTCTCTTCCGGATATCTTAGATCATTTCTTCTGTTTTACCTATGATGTCACTAAAGGAAGCTGTGAGTTTTCAGGTGCCTTAAACCAGTCGACTTCTTGTTAATGCAAATGTTGTAAATTAACCTCTGAGGAGCCTATCAAGCCAATCATCGTATTTATTTTCCCAAATAGTTTAAAGGCACGGAAAAAAAAACACATTTAAAGAGGCCTTTTGGATAAGAGGTGTAATGTCTTCTAGGCAACTTCACGTCCATTTGCCTTAACTGAATTTTTTCAAGCTAGAGTTATTTTCTTAATTTCTCCTTCAGCTCTACTTTTACCCCTCAGCCCAACATATCTGGTGACAGATCAGTTCAACATGCATTTCTAAAGAGATAAACCTCAAATAAAACTGTTTGATCTGCTGCAGAAAACATTTTTCATAGAAAAAAGCTTGGAAATTGAAATAACTTCGCCTGAGTTAAATTTACATTTTCATTGTGATTTATCTTTGAGAAATAATAAGAAAGAAAGACTAAAAACAGACCTGCCCCCTACTCACCTCCACCTTCTCAACCACCTGCTTGCCAAAGGAGCAGACCTTTGTGGAGCAGGTGATGGTCATGTTCTCTGAGCTTTCATACTGGCTGGTTACGCCATAGAAGGCAGCCGAGTCGTCCTGTACGCTGTAATTCAGGTCCGCCTGCGGAAAAAAACAAAAGGAGGAAAGATTAAGCTCCTGCAAAAATCCAACTCCTGAAAGAAATGTCATAGAAAATAATGAAAAGCTTCAATCAGCACTGCTGCATTTCTAGAAGCAGGTCAACAGCGCCCTCTGCTGGTAGAAATCAAACTTTGCATTTTCTGTCAACTCAACCTGCGAGTTGTTCACTGAACTGCTTCTGTTATTCATGATAATTCAAACCTGACATAAACCTGTTATAAAATTAGCATGTAGATAAATTCTTAATTATTTTAGTTATTCTTTTGAATAAAAAAATAGAATATTTTAGCTTGGAAAAAATATTCAAAACGGCTTCAGTTTCACTTGGTGGCTTGTGTTTATGTCATGAAATCAATTACATTTTGAATTTAATTAATTCCTCTATTCCTCTTGGTATGTAAATCTCAGAATATTTTTGTTAAGTCTGTGGGTTTCAGTTCAGTTATTTGTTTATTTTTCCATTCTTTCTTATGCTAAAATGTTTTTATAAGTTGGGTTACATAACAAACCCACTTCATAAATAAATCTAGCTTTACACCAACTGCTAAATAACTGATTCATTTATCTAAAAAAAAAAACCTACTACTTAAATTTCTACTTAAAATAAGTGCAATACTCTGCCAGTATAGTAGACAGCAAAAACTGAAAATAAGTTAAATAACCTTAGCATATGTGTATATGACTTTAATTAGAGCAGATAAATAAGACCATGTGCCAATGGGATTATTATTTTCTTATTTCAAAGGTCAATCATCTTACTAAATTGGAAAATCATTTTATTGAGCCGCTCTAAAAAAGAGAATACACACTTATTTAGAGAAATAAATACTTACTAATGTGGATTAATTGTAATTAATCGATGAATCATTAAATGGAGTATAAAGACTCTAAAACATGCATTTAGCTGACAGACCAGTAATTATATCAAAATTGTAAAAAAAATAAATAAATATGTACATATTTTGGA